TATATATACTGTATATATATATATATATATACACTTTTGGTTTTCATCCATCAAATATAATCAAAATAAATAAATAATGTATAACTGTTATTCAGTACTTTTGTACTCGGTGGGACAAAAGAGAAAGTAAGATGAATATGATCAGAAAATAGAGGAAATATTTATTTATTTATATGATTGATTGATTGATTTGAGACTTTTGTTTTTAACTCTGTATAAAACTGTTTTTTATTGATGCCAAACTTATTATGTATAACTTATTTAAACTTTTTGGTTTGCATCCATAAAATAAAATTTGAATGAATGAATGATACCCAGTGAGACAAAAGAGAAAGTATGATGAATTACAACAAGAAAATGCAAGAAATATTTCATTGATTAATTTGAAAGAACCTTTCATTTGTAGCATTTAATTCTCTGTATTACATTGTATGCATGCTACATACATATATGACAGTACCATCACTTTGAGGTTTAAATTCAAGCAAAAATAACTGCATTGTTATATACATTTACCATGATATTTTGGTCATACTGCCACTTCTACTCATTGATGGTTTCGTTCCTCCTCTCTGTCTAGTTTGGGTGTGATCAGGGGCCTGAAGATAGGCCATCGGTCAGTGATGTGACCTTGAGATCCTCCTGCATGGAAAGTGCAGAAAGAAACTCCAGAGCTCTGAGCCTCCATAACTCCATCACTAAGAGTAAGTGTTTCAGGTTAAATTTATTATTTTTAAATGACTCATGTAGTTAATGTTATAAGTTCACACCCCTGTTGCTACAGCAGGCCATTATTTGCAGTGGGTTAATAAATAAGCCTTCATATAGGTACGTCTACAATGACTGTGTGGCTTCAAAACATATAAAGCTTCATTGGTAATCTATAAGTGCAGTTTCCAAAAGTACAGATGGGATCTTTAGATATATTAAACCGTGAGAGGTTTAACTCTGTAATTAATTGAAAAGCAGCAGGAGTTCTTTCATTTAATCTAAAGGCTGGAATGTGTGCAAATCTGAACAGATTTTACAGATCATACACATGGTTACAGAGGAACTTATCAACACTAATAAATGTTTCTCATTTTCATTTACTTTAATTTTATTTAAATTAATTAAAACTAAAACTGAAATAAAGATTAAAAGAAACTATATAGACACATAAAAAAATAAATGAATAAAAAAATGACAAAACACACAACGAAATTACTACACTTGCTCTGACATTCAGCAACTAGTGTTGACTCATCCATAATGCAAATTGGGGCAAAAGTTGTGTTTTGTTTGTACTGCATGTAGTACTTTTCATCCTTAAAATTCTGCTGATTCATTTCTAGAAATCAGTTAATACTGAATGAAATAATTTAAAACAATTAAAAAAAAATTGCTCTTACTGTGATTTTTTCCATTACTAAAACTGTTCACAGAAATTCTAGGTTGGTATTTTTTATGTATTCAAATATTTTAGTAATATATAAATGGGGAAAGTGTTAATTTTACATCCCTTTTAAGAAGAAAGAAAGAAAGTAAATATTGCTACAGTATTTACTTATGTGTATTATATTGGTTTGTTATATTGCTACTTTAGTTTAATTAATATTTTAATGATTAGTTGTCTTTCTTCCTTTTTTTAAGTAACACAAATGTAGGAAACATTCCTTGAATATTTTACATAAGAAAAATACATATAGAAAGATACATTTAGATAATATTCCTCATCTGTTACTACTGGTGTTCCTCAAGGCTCTGTCTTGGGCCCTCTTTTATTTATTATCTACCTATTACACCTTGGCCATATTTTTAGGAAATTTGGTATTAAATTCTAATGCTATGCAGATGATACCCAGCTCTATTTGTCCTCCAAGCCTCTACTCTTCTTTCTCCTTTCCTTTTGGACTGTTTAGATGAAATCAAAGCAAAGCCTGGTTCTAAACCAAATTTGGCAAAATCCGACAGCTTTTCACTTACTATTGATAATGCCATCTCTCCCCTATTTGGATGGATTTGTGGATGGATGGATGGAATGGATGGGTGGATGGATGGATGGATGGACGGACGGATAGATAGATGTGTTAGTAGATATATAGTTAGATAGAATTATCGTATTTTGCTCTGCTCATCACCTCATCATCCTATATATTCTTTTGTCTTTAGCTACAGGGAGGCTCCATTCCTCCTCTTCCTCTGGGAGGTTTCATTTTCCCTTACTCCTGCATTCAGTCTCTTTTGTTTCTGAGCCCTTGTAGTGTAAATGCTGCCTGTTTAAAAATAAGCTGATCTACGACCAACCTCCCCTCCATAAGCAAATTCAGCAAGCTTTAAAAGATACAAATCATGGCCTGAATGGCACTGACATTTTCAAATGAGTGTAAAGCTCGGACAGATGGGGGCTAGGCTAGGGCTGGTTGGGATAAGGGTATTAAATGGCCTCAAATCAAGACACTGTCTCTGGGCCATCTGTTCTGTGCCTCTGCCCCTTGATTGTTGAGCGGTTACATCTCTCCAGGCCCTCCTTTAAAATGCATATGGATGCATTTGTGTGTGAATACTCAACAAACTCAGACTGTCAGTAGCAACCACCTTTTACTTTGTCCAATTTGGGTCAAAGCAGCAGTTATAATTCATTTGCAAATGATTCAAAAACCAAGCCTAACTGCAGTTCAAATGTTATATTCACATATATAAATATGATCAATTAAATGTTATATTTTCATGTGTGTGGAAAGTTTGATTTGTAGTATTAGCGCTAGGAAAATAACCCGTTTTTGGTGGTCTGTCCGAGGATGAATTTTTCTTCAGAAACGTTTACCGTACTGTACATAAAACAGCCACCAAAGGGAAATAATGCCTAATGTGGCAACAAAAAAAAAAAACTAAATAAAAAAATAAATACAAAAACAGACCAACAGATGGTGCTGATTGCTTTAAAAACGTCAGGTCATGTTATCTTTCTCTCCTAATTACTTGCTAACCCTAGTCTTGCTATTGAAAATTGGACCAGAAGTAACGAATGCAAGAGCATCATCATGTTATCATTATCAGCTTCAAAATAAGGCATATAATAACACTCATAAACTCCCTAAAGCATCTTCCCTTGTATGCAAATTCAAGGCCGCAGTTGGGAATTATATATTATATATAAATTATATTTATATTAATATTACATTATTCAGAATATTTCAGCTCTGAATAATGCTTCTTCATCATTGTGAAAAAAAGTGAAAGTGAAGTGTGGCCAAATATGGCCCATACTCGGAATTTGTGCTCTGCATTTAACCCATCCAAGTGCACGCACGCACACACACACGGAGCAGTGGGGGTTCAGGGCCTTGCTCAAGGGTGTCACCTCAGTCGTGGTATTGAAGATGGAAGAGAGCACTGGTTATTCAGTCCCCCACCTACAATTCCTGCCGGACCTGAGACTCAAACCCACAACCTTCGGGTTACAAGTCCGACTCTCTATCCATTAGGCCACGACTTCCCCAAAAAAGCAGTTGTCTTAATTGTACTAACTGTGCACATGTAGTGTACTTAAAATCCTAATCATATTTTTTAAAAACTGTACTTGCAGATGATATAATATTAATAAAATAGAATAAAAGGCCACTGCTATTCTTGACATAAAGAGAGACACTTTCTTGTCTATAAACACACTTAAGTATACTTTTAAACAGTGCACTTTGTAATAATGTAAAATTAAAAGTTTTGCCTTAAAGCCATTTTAAATCATTAAAAAAGTGTACACTTATTTTAATGTGCTGACTAACATACTAAAGCACATGTAAAATACTTGATTACAATTTTAACTATAGTACTTTTCAGTTATACATTTAAAGTGAATATATTTGAAATGTACAAAATTGCAAACTCATCATTACAAATATATTTAAATACATGACATACACGTTTCAGTAGAAATGACATTTAAAGTATATTTTAAATGCTTGTCAGTATGTTCAGCAGTACTTTAACGATATTTCAAAGATAATAGAAGTAATTATGAAAAAGATGTAAAAATGTAAAAGATATAAAGATGTGCTTAACTCCTACTACTTAAGTGGATCAGAAAGCATTCTAAAGTTCAGCTAATTGCATTAAATATACATTTCAACTATAATACATATAATATAATTTATATGTAACTTTAATTAACATGCTGTTAAGTGTCAGAAAACATTACATTTCACTCTTTTAAACTATTTTTTCCGTAATAAGTCATATATTTAAATACATGACATACACGTTTCGGTAGAAATGACATTTAAAGTATATTTTAAATGCTTGTCAGTACGTTCAGCAGTACTTTAACGATATTTCAAAGATAATAGAAGTAATTATGAAATTATATATAAAGATGTGCTTAAGTCCTACTACTTAAGTGGATCAGAAAGCATTCTAAAGTTCAGCTAATTGCATTAAATATACATTTCAACTATAATACATATAATATAATTTATATGTAACTTTAATTAACATGCTGTTAAGTGTCAGAAAACATTACATTTCACTCTTTTAAACTATTTTTTCCGTAATAAGTCATCATACATCATACATCCTACATCATGCCTTTCACATAGACGTACATATAAACTGTAAAAAAAAAAAGTTTATTAATAGATTTTGAATAACTTTTAATACTATATTCAGATTTAACAACAGACTAAAGGCCTATTTACACTTCTGCGTCAGATTCATGCTGTAAGCTCTGCATAGTTGCAGTGGTTAAAGTGTATCCTGTGCCGTACGTCTCTCCAGTGTAACTTTAGACGTACATATAAACTGTAAAAAAAAAAGTTTATTAATAGATTTTGAATAACTTTTAATACTATATTCAGATTTAAAAACAGACTAAAGGCCTATTTACACTTCTGCGTCAGATTCATGCTGTAAGCTCTGCATAGTTGCAGTGGTTAAAGTGTATCCTGTGCCGTACGTCTCTCCAGTGTAACTCATGTTGCATCTACACAGACCGCAACAGCTGTGATTGGTCAGCTTTGTAACAAGAGACCCTCAGGATGATAAAAAAAAAAGATGCAATAACTTCACGTGCATTGGGAATGAATGTAACGGAGAACAGAGGTGGTCATAAACCATAAACGAATCTAGTGATCCAAAAATGTCCATAATGTATTTGTTTATGCACAGAACAATAATTTCAGTCTTAACATGACAAATGAATAGAGAATTCCACTAAACTCCAAAGAGTTGCAAATTTGACTGTCTACACTAAAAAGAAAGAGGTGTAGAAACAATTTTAACTAAGAAATTGCTAGTGAATTTCACAATTAATTATAAAGAAACAGCATGCAACACATTGATTTAAACATGAATGTTTGAAGTATAAAGACTGGTATGTAGTATGTAAAACGTGTCAATAGTATGTAAAACGTTCTCCAATAATCTTAGTTTTATTCACAATTTTGAAAAATCATTCAGAATCATCAGTTGCTTCACTGGGTCAATGTTGACTAAAGAATTCAAAATATTTTTTTTATCATTGTCTTTTCGAGACCAAAAACACTTCTCGTAGATGCCAACAAATAATAAATCTAAATACTCCACAAAGCCCTTTTACAATATATTTTTGTTGATTTCAGTTCTCTCAGAGACAGCCGATTCGTCTGAGGAAGAGTGGCAGTCGATTTCTGATCTGGCCAACGCCTGCCGGAACATTCTGGAAGCTTTGTCTCGAGAAGGTGAGAAATGGCAATTTTCAGTGGATGAAATGTGTTTGAACATGTGAAAGTGTGAGTTGGAGTGAGTCAGTGTAGTTTGTTCACTGAAAAGAGCTGGTCTGGTAACTTTTCTGTGACGAGATGGAATATTAACAATGTCATTTCCTGCTGGGTTTCAGACCGGACGTCGGGAGATGGATCACAAGCGTCCCCAGAAACCCAGCTAGGTCAGACAGACACCAGGTTCATAGATATCAAGGACAGGTGAGGCTCTCATCGCACCATGAACTCTTTGACATTAGATTATTCAGTACTCAAAACACGAGGCAAGGCAGTTAGCAAATGTTCCTTTACAACTCAAAGAGAACTTCAATTCTGACAGCTTTTGCTGAAAATGCAGCTTTGATCACAGGAATAAATTACATTTTACAATATAATTGTTATACTATTTCACAGTATTTTTTTACTGCATTTTCTGTGTGCAGACTTTAATAAACCACATGCTTGCTTTAACTTTGGAACTTCGGAAGAACAAAATTGCTCAAAATATTTGAAAAATAATAACTTTAGAAACAACTTTGAAGTTTAATGTTCAAACAGTGGCCAAATAAGGCACAGGTGTATTTCTCAGAAAATGATGCAAAATTTATATCATATAATAATACACTACCAGTCAAAAGTTTAGAATAATGAAAAATGTTTTGTTTTTTAAATAAGTTTAGTTCGCTCATTTATTTGAGCAAACATGCGCTTAAAACACTAATATTGTAAAATATTATTACAATTTAAAATAACTGTTTTCTATGTGAATATATGGTAAAATATAATTTATTTCTGTGATCAAAGCTGAATTTTCAGCATCATTACTCCAGTCTTCAGTGTCACATGAATATGCCGATTTGCTGCTTAATTTTAACAATTAGTATTGATGCTCAATCTTGTGTCTTTACTGTCACTTTTGATCAATTTTATGTCTTCGTTAAAATTTTTTTTACATTTTTTTAAACTTAATCCAAACTATATCATGATTTTTACAAAATATTAAGCGGCAAAAAGAGTTTTTAATATTGCTAATAATCAGAAATGTTTCTTGAGCAGCACATCAGCATATTAGAATAATTTCTGAAGATCATGTGACACTGAAGACTGGAGTAATGATGCTGAAAAAAATTCAGCTTTGATCAGAGAAATAAATTACATTTTACAATATATTCACATAGAAAACAGTTATTTTAAATTGTAATAATATTTCACAATATTACAGTTTTTACTGTAATTTTGATCAAATAAATTCAGCCTTTGTGAGCAGAAGAGACTTCTTTCAAAATCAGAATTAATCCAAATGCTTGACTGGACATCATTTTGTTTTTTGGTGTTCTTCTTTCTCTCCCTGCCTTCGCAGTGACTCGCCTGGTCACCTTGAGGAGAAAGTGTCCCAGTTAGAGGCCATGCTGAAGCGACTGCAGGATGACCTCCAAAAGGTACTTTGTCCTCTGTGGGTTTGTCACATCACAGCTCTCTCTGTCGCAGCACACTGTAACCCCTTCAAATATCTCCCATTCAATACATCCACCCATCCTTGTCTGTATATCTGCCCTGTCCAGTCCTTGCCCTCTTCGCTACTTCAAAGAGCCACTGCTACTTCACAGAGCCAATCACACAGAGGGACTGTAGAGGTAGGGCGGGACAAGCAAAAGAAACCTGTCTTGTCATTGAGCAGGGTGAACAGAGGAGATGAGAAGATTGCTGGAGGGACAATGGGCAGCCATGCTCACTCTCAACACTAACCCACCAATGGCAGTTAAGGCAAGTAGAGCATGAGATTTTTACTAAATCAGTAACAAAAAAACAACAACATGTGTGACAGTTCTCACTTGATTAACAACAAAATGAAAGAAATAGTTCACCCCAAAATGACCTCTCCCTCAGGCCATCCAAGATGTAGGTGAGTTTGATTCTTCATCAGATTTGGAGAAATGTAGCATTGCATCAGTGTCTCAGCAATGGATGCTCTGCAGTGAATGGGTGCCGTCAGAATAACAGCTGATAAAAACATCACAATAATCCACAAGTAATCCACACCACTCCAGTCCATCAATTAACATCTGGAGAAGTGAAAAGGTGTGTGTTTGTAAGAAAGAAAATCCATAAGACATTTTAAAATTTAAAACGTTGGCTAAAATATGAGTCCTTTATCCGTAAAATTGCTTTCTTCAGGGAAAAAGTTGTGTGGTCTGAATCAGGAGAGGAATATGCACAGATACCGTTTACAAGAAAAACAGTCCTAAACAGCTCTAAACAAAAATATGGGTGGATTTTGATGTAAGAGGAAGTGTTATTATTATGAAATATGGACTTATTTTAGCTGGAAGCGATGGTTTTAAGTTAAAAAGTCTTAATGAATGGATTCTAATCAGTTCAGTCAATTTTAACTGATGGACTGGAGTGGTGTGGATTATTGTGATGTTTTTATCAGCTGTTTGGACTCTCATTCTGACGGTACCCATTCACTGCAGAGCATCCATTGCTGAGACACTGATGCAATGCTGCATTTCTCCAAATCTGATGAAGAAACAAACTCATCTACATCTTGGATGGCCTGAGGATGAGTACAGTTCATTTTAAAGTGAACTATTCCTTGAAGGATGTGAAGGAGGTGATGTTATTAGTTAATGCATTAACTAACCTTAACTAATGGGGCCTTATTGTAAAGTGTTACCACATATTTTTATGTGATGCTCTTCATTAACAGGGATTTGTCCATTTAGATAAATGACTCAATCTTCAGTTTCTTGGTTTGGAATAGCAGTTTTAAGAGACAGTGTTAAATTGGAATATGTTGTAGTAATCACAGTAAATGATGTACTGTATAATTACATGCAACTAACCTTAAATCAAACCCTAATCCTAACCCTACGCATGTTGTTAATTAATATTACACCATAGCAAGGACACCTTAAGACAAAGTGTAACCTAATCATTTATTAGAGAATGGAAAACATAATCTTAAAGCTTAGGGGGTTAAGTTTTTTTTTTGCCATTTCCTATTTTACAACAACACAAAATGGGCAAAATGTAATATAATAATCTAATGATTTAAAGTAGAGCATTAACTGTTCATTATTTAATATGAATTATTATTATTATTACTGCTCCTGGATTCGAAAAAAGACAGCATTTTTGGCATAATTTGCTTGAATTTTACCATAAAGTTGTGAAAGATTCTGCCAAGCCTAACTTCTATTGAACCTGAACATTCCTTTAAATGATGAATTATCTCGACACATTAACATTTCACACACTTTTCAAAATAATTTTCCTGCTTATGGTAGCTAAATTTCTTTAGCGTTGTAATTTTGTTGTTATTGCTCATTCGCTACAATGGATATTAGGAAATGGAAAGATTTGAGGTTAATTGTGATTGGCTGGTCAGCACACAGAGTAGGCGTGTCATAGTGTGTGTGTGTGTGTGTGTGTACACACACACACACACACACACACACACACATTATAGATTTACTGCAGACCATTAACACCAACTCACAACTGTATAACTTAAGTGTATGTACACTTAATAATATTATAGCTTTAAGGTCCCTCAGGATGAATATTAAAGCCGATCCAGGGTCTCAGTTCTCTTTTGTTTGATCCCATTATCCACATAAAGTCAGGAAGGGAAAGCGAGGGTGAGCATGGTTGATTGCATAAGGTCCCACAGTTATCCAGCACACTCATAGATAAATCATAGCTTACTGAAGACTTCGGTCACCTTGAGAGAAAAGTGTGGCCTTATAAAATATGATTATTATACATACACAGATAACAGTCTACCTTGAATTACTACCATGTTTAGAGGCATCATTGCTCTTTCAGTGTTTTTTATGCATTAATATCATTTAGGATAATGATACATGGAAAATGCATGTATTTTTCTTTTCAAGAATGCCCAGTGCTTAATGAATGGTCTTATCACTGATGCATGTCTGATGCCACGTTTGGACTTTAAAAATTTTTTTTTGCTGCAATCAAGAACTAATTTGCATGCAGGTTCTGATTTACTAAGATAACTAATAAAAGCTACTAATTTGCTTCTTCAATCTACAATATACAGAAATGTATTCAAAATGTCTACTGTGGAAAAATAAGCACCCCCTTCAGTTTTGTAGGCGATCTTTCATCCACTTGCCATTAATAACCTGTAGATATTTTGTATAATTGTCTGTCAGTCCTCCATTATGCACATATTTTTTTTAGGATTGCTTGATGATTACTTTTATTATTAAGAATGCATTCAATTGATCAAAAGTAGCAAAGACAATTAAATTTTTCTTTTGTTTGTGCTATTTGTTTAGGGTTTACGAACAAACCAGAGCAGTATAATAAGGTTCATATAAAGCGTGGCCATCCAGTTTAGTGATTTTCTACTAATTTTCACTTGTTATTATTTGTTGGATTTGATTGTAGTTACTGAAGATGTAGGGGTGTGCTAACTTTTTCCACACAAGAAATGGAAATGTAAGCTGTCCAAATAATTACTAAATATGCATTCCAAGTGAAATTTGTTAAATTATATTGATATTTAATGTATTGCCATTTGTGAAATGCCAATCAAATATATAAAAAAGTTTTGGGTCAGTAAGATGCATTTATTTATTTTGTTCAAAAATTCATAATTTTAAAATCTATTTAGGCCTACATAGAAAACAGTTATTTTAAATTGTAATAATATTTCACAATATTACAGTTTTTTTTCATTTTGATCCAATAAATGCAGCCTTGGTGAGCATAAGACACTTCTTTCAAAAATATTTAATAATTTTACAGACACCAAACACTGTACATGCATGCAAAACTGCATATAAAAAATTCAGTTATATATGTTTTTAGTATAGCAAGTGATCAAAGGATCAGTGTTTGCATTGCAGCATGTAATAGTGTGGCGTATTTTGTTGTATGTGCAAGTCAAGTAATCCATCCTTTCCCCAGCTTCAGCCATTGTCTTCTTCATCTGTGTGTCATTCCACCGACATATTCAGGCATAGCAACCCCTCATGTGGCGTGGATGTGTCCTGCCAATACAGAGTGAGAACGCTCGACCCTGAAAGTCATTATGTTTGCATGCCTCCCACAGGAGAAAGAGGACAAGGCAATGCTGCAAGCAGAGGTGCAAAATCTCAGGCAGAACAACCAGCGGTTGCAGGAGGAGTCCCAGAGCACCGTGGCACGGCTCATTAAAGTCACAGAACTGCTCTGCAACGTCAACAAACCCTGCTAGCATCGAAGGCCAAACCATGGCAGCGAGAAAGATCAGAAGACGCATGAAAAGGCCAATGAAAATGTTAGCAAATCCCTACAAATGTCTCTTAAGTGACAAGACCATCGATAAGCCTTACTAGAAAGTGCACGAAAACAAACAAATTATACATAGAATTAACATCTCTGTTGCACCCTAAAAGGTTTTCAGGACTAGATTTAAGTAGTCCCATCACTGTGACAGCTTGTTAACAATGATAGCCTTTGGTGCAAGATCTGATCTCAATCATTGGCTAATGTTGTTCAAAAACATCTGACTGTCCAAAAGTCATTATTTGCAACCCTCAGATTCGACTTTGGAAACATGAAATGTTCAAAATCATATTATCTTTAAGTATTTTTCATCAGATTCCTACATAGTGAACCGGAGGGTCACAAGCAAACGATCGTGTCCAGATCCCAAGCAATACATTCACCTTATTTGTGTTGAAATAGGTGGCTTCAGACTATGACCTTCAGTGTATATACTAGAGGAAAATTATTAACATGTCAGTGTGATTGTAACCCTGTATTAACCATCACAGTATCAGAAATAGGTAGAGCCCGTTCTAACCTTTTCTCTGTTGGCTGTGGGTAAAAGGCTTCTTGCTTATCTTTAGAGTGAATACGCTAACAAAACATCAGGAGCGATGCAAACCGACAATGAAAATCATAAAATGCGTGCATTTTGGTGAACTAGTACATTTTTTGTTTGTGACTACCCTTGTGAAAAAGAAGTGTGCTTAATTGTGTTGAATGTGCACTTGTACTATCTTAAAAGTATATTTAAAAAAGAAATTACTTGCAGATAAGATATGAAATAAAAGGCCATTTAATGTAAGTGTAATTAAAGAGAAACACTTTCATGTCTACGTTTCTTAAGTACACTTTTAAAAAGTCACAGTGTCAATTTCTTTTAAAGTACATTTTAAATCAGCTTCAGTAATCCTTTGTTGTGTTTTAAAGAACTTATTTTGATTTGATTGACATTTGATTATAATTTTAACTAGTGCGTTATTCAATATTGCATTTAAAGTTAATACATTTTGAATGTACTAAATTACAAATGTGTAATTACAAATGTATTTAAATACATGACCTACAAGTTTCAATAGAAATTATATTTTAGTTTATCGTAAATGCTCATCAGTGCATTCGACAGTACATTTTAACCATATTCCAAAGACAAGACAATTATGAAATTACAGGAAAATAAATGCTACTTAAGTGGGTCAAAAAGGCACTCTAAAGTGCTTTTTGCATTTAATATAAATTAATTGCAATTGCATCAATTATAAATTGCATTTAATATAAATTTAAACTATTACTATAATGCATAACATGCTAAGTGTCTGAAAACAATACATTCAGTTCACACTTAAGTTTATTCTTTTAAAGTAAAAAAAAAAAAATTTTTTAAAGTGTATGTCTTTTTCACAAGGGTACAACATGCCAGACAAGTCGAAATGATTTTCTATGGTAATTGACTTGAACCTGGAATGTTATTTTAGCACTGACAATTTGAGGTGAAAATTAATTCCTGCTTTAAATAGCCACTTGAATTCAGAATTCAGGCATCAGATTTCCGCACTGGTATAATTCACTGGACTTTGTATATTTTATGACGCATACCAGAGACAAAATGCTCATTTCATGCCTTTTCACAGTTGTAGAGCTGTCCATTTGGATGTACTTTTGTCCATAATGGGACAAAGTGTATGACATGATCTTTGAAATTTCTTCCCCCCCTCCCCCTTTTTTTTTTGGTATGAAGCCTTATGCCTGATCCCACTGAATCTGAAAGAGCCTTGCAGACGCCTGCTTGAAGATGAAGTAGGGCTCTTGATTTGAGAAGAAAACAATTCTTAGTGTAAAGTTACTAAGGAAAGCATGACTTAAAATAGAGCATTTCTATTTATAAAGATTGCAGCCAGACTAGTTCTACTTTGTTCTCACACAAATTGCCTAGAGTGCTGTATGCTGAACTGTGAGACAGCACATATTTATAAAACTGCTATTTTGTCTTTTATTTTCCATATTGCACCCAAATATCACTCTTTACCTCACCTAAAGGTGCACTGATAATGTGACGAGAAGAAGAGCAAAATGACTGGACTCTTGCCTGCACACACTCGAACGAAAACGAAACGCACGACACCACCGCAAAGGGAAACGAAATGTTACATAACCATCCTTCAGCATTACTGTACATCATACATGTCTTCTCCCCTTCAAATGTTTTTTTTATTTCTTTTTTTTTATTTTAGAGTCACTGTGATAACCTGGTACCAGCAGATTCTGATGTATTACCATGACATTATAAATCTATATCTTTATTCCTCTCTGTGAAGAAGTGTAGAGCCAAAATAAGTGTTACTTCCCTCTGATGTGTGTAAATCTGTATCCAGATGGAACTGGAGTTTAGTTGTTGCCATTAGTGGAGAATTTGTTGAATTTGATGAATGCAGAGAGACAGGAAGTAGGCTACACTGATGCAATCGGTGATGCATTTTGTGGGATTTACATAGCAAAAGAGCAGTGTAAAAGAACTATTTCCTGTTCATCTGTGTGCGACATAGTCTTTTAGATTGTAGGAGGCTGTGAAAGCACACCAGTGCGACAAGCAATTTCTAAGCCACCTTCTGTATCTGTGTATGTATTTATAAAAATGTAATAACTTATTAATCTTGAAAATGTGGATGTTATTGGTAGATATGTATATTTGAACTGGAAGGGATGCAAATTTGTGAGCCAATGAATGTTTTTTTTATGTTATTTTAATTGTAAGAATATTAAGGCATGACATGATAGCAGGTGGTCATATTTTGTTTTACTGGAATAATATCAATCGTTAAGACATATTCCGTAGTGGAAAACTACTGAAATTACACTGGAAAGGAACTCAACCGTGGCTGCTTGGAAATCATGTGTGACATTCCATCTTTTCATGTTCTTAACAGTTGTATCATTATTTTTTTATTGTCAAACCTGTATTGTGTATTTACCTTTTGTTCGATACTGAAATGTTAACTCTTGGACTGCTGTGGCGACCCAAGTGGTTTCCAGTTAAAAATAACTTTCGTTATTTATGGATTGGATCAGGATGCTTCATCTGCAGAAACTTTCTGAGAAAAAAAAACAAATGCATTTAGACTAAATTACGTTCAAACACGTTTGTGATTAAATGTATTTTAAAGGGACTGGTTTGTTAATGTCAAACTAATCCCTGTCTTTTTTTATGGTATGATGTTTTATGAAGCCATAAATGCTTTTCGTCATATGGTAATGCTTTACTGTTTGATTTGTGTTACAATTCAGTTTTACTGTTGTTTACAAAATGTTGGTCCTTTTGTTTGAAATGTGATGCTTATGCACTGAAACATCTGTAAGGTCTTTTAAAGTACGGCCTGCTTTCACTGGAACAAAGCCACAGTCACTCCAGGCAATCAAGCCTTGCAAACCATGCAGATAAACTTGGGAAAACACGAGTGGATTGTTGTAGTGCCAAATTTCGCGTCGTTCCGCTACAACGGTGGCATTTGCAGACTGTGCATTTAAAACCTCTTACAAACAATCTAAACCACTCCTAAGAATGTGCATTTTCACTTTGTTAGCGATCATTCTTAGATGTGTTGCTCTTTTTTTTATGTCATGTTGCTAGCCATGTCATGCCGGAGGACAGATTTACAGATTTAAGCTTAGTCCCTATTAGTAGTTATGTCAATGACTGTTCTAAATTGCCAAATCTGCCAATAAATAGCATTATATCTACCAATCCCATAAATGATCAGCTCCCAAAACAGAATCACTAGCAGGCACTTTTATAAATAAGTATTGCCACATGAAACTAAAAATGTAGGTGTATGGCAAACCACAAACCCACACACTATGCACACTGGTCTATGATATCCGGAAAGAATAATGACTGGACCGACAGGAATATGCCGTCCAGTCAAAACATACAAAGAACTGGTATGGTGATCACTGGAGCTGTACTTGTTTCTTTTAACTAATAGGGATTGATCAAGTATTGTATATGTGAACCTGAGGGATCCTGGCAATAAAAACTGAACTTGTTTCCGTATGAGCTGGTGTCAGAAATTTGTTATTTATAGTACTCTGATAAAACATTTACTATATTTTTACACACTGAAGGCTAAGGCAAATGTATTTACTGTGGTAAATGCAAACATGCCACTTTATTTTTTGGGTGAACTAAACTTTTGTGGTCTATTTAGCATGTAATAGTACTTAAATTGTGTATAGCCAAAGAGGTTAATTTATTGGTAAAAGATAATGCTGTTCAGTCAAATACACTGCAAAAATGCCAGACTTAACTGCCTGTGTACCCGAGCAATCGTGTAGTGATTATTTTCTCCAACATAGGGCGCTGAGAGCTATGCTGGTTACTCAGTAGCGCGCCAAAACTTATGCCATGAAGAACTCAAGAGAAGAGCGCTATTAATCATCAATTTATCGGTTTCAAGATAGAAACATACAAACTATTCATTTCAAATGACTGTAATACTGTTTGTATTTACTATAACAGGGTCTGAATGGTGCAGGATTGCTTTGCATGCAACTTTAAACGTTATTAAAAGTTCCACCGTCACGCAGTAATTCCTACATACACATCTTAGCTATAGCATGTGGGTGAAGGTACACGTCGATAAGTATAAATAATATTATAATCTTCTGTTGATTTTGATTGCTTCCATTGTCCTCATTTGTAAGTGGCTTTGGACAAAAGCATCTGCTAAATGACTAAATGTAAATATTAGGGGGACAGTAATGAAGTAGGCTACATTTACTTGATTGCTGTACTCAAGTGCACTTTTTAAGTATCTGTACTTGAGTATTACTTTTTTCTGGAAACTTATGACTTTAACTTCACTACATTTGAAAGACAAATATTGTA